ATCCAAACGAAAATATGGGTGATCTTGAAATCTTGAAGGTGGCTGCTGAAAAGGGTCACATGGAAGCAAAATATATGTATGGTATGATATTATTATGCTCCGAAGATAATGAGTTAAGAAGAAAAGGGCTTGAACATATGCGTTTTTTGAGGAAGTCCATGTGTGTCATAGCATGTAGAAAAAAGGTGGAACAATTTGCACAACATTTATGGATAAATAGAGCATTAGTGCGAAATCAATCCCCTCTTTGTCGTCATAAGAGTATATGCAATGGATGGAGATTGAAGAAAGGTCGATGGATATTACTGGATGAAGATGATGATGATGATGATTTTCACTCGTGCGAATATTGTCGATGGGATCATGAGTTAAACTTTTTTTACAATTTATTCGGTGTTGCTTAGTATAGTTTCAGTGAATAATTGTATTTTAAAGCAAGTTTATGTAATTTTTCTTCTCTGCATTTTGTTTATGTAGACACATTAGAGTGGCACATGTACCTGCTTTCTCTTTCTTTCGAATGTTAAAATTTGGCAAATTAATTTTTTTTTCAATTTGTTTTATGTGTTTTGAAGTTTTGATAACCGCTCTTTCTTTCGAATGTTAAAATTTAAGGAATATGTAATGCTAAAATGATAATAAGATATGTGTCATGTGAAAATGCTAAAGTGCTAATAAAATGAATTGTAATGAAAACTGTTGAGAAATTGGATGCACTACAATAGAAACAAGCTTTTGAAGCGCTAACATAGACATGGGTTAGTATGAATCGCTTTATAATAGTATATTTAGAGAGCGGTTAGGTATACTTCTAAGAGCGGTTAATATTGAACCGTGTAACATCCTCATTTTGTAATTTATTATTTTGCAATTAATATTTGTTATTTGTGCATGTTTTTTGAAATTAGAAGTGTTTAATTGATGTGAACTATGGGATATCTCGCTATAGCGAAAATGAGGCGGTGAAAATGTATTTTGGAGCCCTCTCGTTGTAGCTAGAATGATAGACAGTAAAGGAAGAAAACTTCTGATTTTTTCGCTGTAGCGAGAACCTCTCGTTGTAGCGAGAAAGTCCGAGTTTGAAAGATATTTAAGGAACTCTCGCCCTAAAATCTTTATTTCCAACCAAATCACATATTCCTCTCCATCCTCTTCGTTCTCTCCCTCTCCTTTCTCAAAGAAAACCTCCAATAACTTTGGATCTTCTTCATATTTGAGCTCAAACATCCATTCTTCTTGGATCTAAGTAAGTTTCTCGGAGCTCAGATCTCTATTTCATTCCTTTTCTTCGGTTCTCTTCTCATGATAAGATCTCTACCTCGAAATACTTAGGAAATCTTATCTTTTGAAAGATCTCTCTATAGATACTGTGAGATCTCTCCGTAGATCACTCATATAACTAATTTGGAGGAACCATTATCAGGTAAGAGAAGTATTTTCTAGCTGTAGTTATATGTATATATATAGATCTAGTGGTTCTGTGAGAAACATGGGCATCTCACTTAGAAGCAAAACACTGGTGGAGATATGCTCGTCAGCAAATAGAAGCTGAAAGAAGGGAGATTAATTGGGAATCATTTAAACGTCGTTTCCTGGAGAAATACTTTCCAGAAGATTTAAGAAGGAGGAAAGAGGTTGAATTTCTGAACTTGAAGCAGGAAAGTATGACTATAGGAGAGTATGCTACAAAGTTTGATGAGATGTCGAAGTTCTGCCCTTACTTTAACAATAATGGAGATGATCGTTCTAGATGCACTAAGTTTAAGAGCGGGTTACGTCTAGACATTAAGCTTGCAATTGGCTATCAAGAAATTATTCATTTTCCTACTCTGGTGAATAGATGTCGGATTTATGAGGATGATGCAAAAGAAAAATAGGCGCAGTGGAAGAGTTCTGGTCCACAGCAGAACCATCCTAATAGAAGAGGAGATGCTTAAGGGATAGGGAAACCCTATCAAGTATCACAGAGATATCAAGGATCTTCATCAGGGGATGGAAGGTTTCAAAACTTTGCTGGAAGTTCAAATAGAATTGGTGATAGTGGTACTCGGTGCTTTATTTGTGGAGGACCGCATTTTGCTCGAGAGTGTTCACAGAAGAACTATGTTTTCCTTAGATGTGGAAAGCCAGGTCATTTCATTCGTGATTACCCTGAGATGAAACAAGAGAACAACAACCAGAACAATCAAGCTGATGGCAGCAAAAATAAGAACAACCATCAAGTTGGAAGGCCGAGGACTCAAGGGAGAGTTTTTCGATGAGTGGGGAGGAGGCATCTTAGTCTGACACCATGATACAGGGTAAATGTTTCATAAATGGGAACATCTTGAATGTATTGTATGATTCAGGAGCTTCTCACTCTTTTATTTCTGAAGTTTGTGTGAGACAGTTGAATTTACCTGTTACTATTTTGCCATATGATTTGATTGTTTCTACTCCTGGTAGTAATTCTATTATTACTGCTAGGGTTTGTTTGAATTGTCCCATAATAGTAGAAAACAAAGACTTCTTTGTAAACTTGTTTTGTTTACCCCTTATTGACTTAGAAGTCATTCTAAGACTAGATTGGTTGTCTGCCAATCGTGTTCTATTAGACTGCCATAACTAAACCATTGTCTTTGCTAATCCTGTTAAATCATCTCCTGAGAATTTGATATTTCTATCTGCTAACCAAGTCAATGCTTCTTTGAAAGGAGGAGCTCAGATGTGTATGGTGTTACTTTCATTGAAAGGGGAGAAGGAATTTACGATAGAGAACTTGCCGATTGTTTGTGATTTTCCTGAAGTTTTTCCAGAGGATATTCCTGGGTTACCTCTAGAAAGGGAAGTAGAATTTACTATAGATTTAACCCCTGGAACTGGACCAATCTCTATAGCACCTTATCGGATGTCACCTTTGGAACTAGCTGAATTGAAAAAGCAACTGGAAGAGTTATTAGAGAAACAATTTGTGCATCTAAGTGTATCCCCTTGGGGTGCTCTAGTGTTATTAGTTAAGAAGAAAGATGGAACGATGAGGTTATGTGTGGACTATCGTCAATTGAATAAAGTGACTATTAAGAATAAGTATCCACTACCAATAATAGATGATTTGATGGATCAATTACGAGGAGCAATAGTTTTCTCTAAAATGGATTTGAAGTCTAGTTACCATCAGATCAGAGTGAAAAAAGAAGATATTCTAAAAACTGCTTTTAGAACACGCTATGGGCATTATGAATACCTAGTGATGCCATTTGGTGTAATTAACACACCTACAGTGTTTATGGATTACATGAATCGGATTTTTCATCCGTATTTGGATAAGTTTGTAGTTGTTTTTATTGATGATATTCTAATATATTTCAAGAATCATAAGGAACATGCAGACCATCTTCCTATGGTATTGGAAATCCTAAGAAAGAAACAGTTATATGCCAAGCTTTCCAAGTGTGAATTCTGGTTAACAAAAGTGAGTTATTTGGGGCATGTAATCAGTAAAGATGGAATTTTTATAGATCCTTCTAAGGTTGAAACTGTTTTACAATGGGCTAGACCAAAAACAATTACTAAGATATGAAGTTTCTTAGGATTGACAGGTTATTATCGGAGATTTATTGAAGGATTTTCAAAGTTGGCATTGCCTTTGACTATGTTGACTCGCAAAGGACAACCGTTTGTGTGGACTAGTCAATGCGAAGATAATTTCTAAGAATTGAAGAATAGATTGACTTCTGCTCCTGTATTAATACTTCCAAACCCTTATGAGAATTTTAAAGTTTATTGTGATGCGTCAAGGCAAGGATTAGGATGTTTGTTGATGCACAATAGGAATGTAGTAGCTTATGCTTCAAGGCAATTGAGACCACATGAGGTGAATTATCCTACGCATGATCTGGAGCTTGCTGCTATAGTTTTTGCATTGAAGATTTGGAGACATTATTTGTATGGTGCTAAATTTGAGGTTTTTAGTGACCATAAGAGTCTCAAGTATCTGTTTAATCAGAAGGAATTGAATATGAGGCAACATTGATGGATTGAATTCTTAAAAGATTATGACTTTGAACTTCAATACCTTAAGCAGAAAATCTTTACAAGTGTCAACTATGATGATTCAGGAATTGGAATTGGTGGAGCATATTAGAGATTTAAATATGGCCATGGAACTTACTTCAAAGAGTCTTCAATTTGGAATATTAAAGGTCACTAGTGAATTTTTAGAACAGATTCGCATAGGTTAACAAGAAGATGCAATCTTACAAGAGAAGAAAGCATTAATGATTCAAGGTAAAAAAAAATATTTTCAGGAAGGTACCGATGGAATTTTGAGATTTTGAAGAAGAATCTGTATTCCACAAAACAAAGAACTTCATAAGATGATTTTGGAAGAAGCCCATAAAAGTAAATTAAGTATTCACTGAGGTACCACTAAGATGTACCAAGATTTGAAGGAATTATTTTGGTAGCCCAGAATAAAGAAAGCCATAGCAGAATATATGGCATCTTGCTTGGTGTGTCAAAAGGTGAATGTTGAACATCAGAGACCCTCTGGGATGTTGCAACCTTTGGATATTCCTGAATGGAAATGGAAAAATATTGCAATGGATTTCGTGAGTGGATTGCCGAGGACATCTGCAAGTCATAATGCGATATGGGTAATTATTGACAGATTGACCAAGTCTGCCCATTTTCTACCCATTAATATTGGTTATTCATTAAAGAAGTTGGCCCAGTTATATATCAAAGAAATAGTAAGACTACATAGTGTACCATCAAGCATATTATCAGATAGAGATCCTAGATTTACTTCAAGGTTTTGGAAAAAGTTACAAAAGGCATTAGGAACAAAGCTCAGACTTAGTTCAGCATATCATCCACAGACTGATGGATAATCAGAAAGAACTATTCAATTGCTTGAAGACCTTCTTAGAGCTTGTGTAATGAAGTATAAAGGCAACTGGGATCAATTCTTACATTTGATTGAATTTACTTACAACAACCGTTTTCACTCAAGTATCGGGATGGCGCCATTTGAAGCGTTATACAGTCGGAAGTGCAAAACACCTCTATGTTGGTACGAAATAGGGGAGAATTTTACTTTGGGACCTGAGGTGGTTCAGCTAACTACGGAGAAAGATAAAATGATCCAAGAGAAAATGAGAACGGTACAAAGTAGACAGAAAAGTTACTATAATAGAAGAAGGAAGCCATTAGAATTTCAAGAAGGCGACCATGTGTTTCTAAAAGTTACACCTACCACAGGAGTTGGAAGAGCTATGAAATCTCGAAAGCTCACATCTAAATTTATTGGTCCCTATCAGATTCTGAAAAAGATTGGCCTTGTAGCTTACCAAGTTGCCTTATCCCCATTTCTTTCTAATCTCCAAAACGTTTTTCATGTCTCACAACTGAGAAAATATATCCCTGATCCATCCTATGTCATTGAACTTGATACGATACCACTGAAGGACAATCTTACTTATGAAACATCGTCCGTACCTATTATGGATCAACGAGTAAAACATCTACGGGAAAAAGACATTTTGCTTATAAAAGTGGTATGGAGTGAAACCGATGATGAAGATGCTACGTGGGAGCTAGAGAGCAAAAAAAGGGATTCTCACCCCTACCTTTTTTCTTAACGTACGTAAATTTCGAGGACGAAATTTCTTTGAGGGGGGAAGAAATGTAATATCCTCGTTTTTCCTAAACGATTAATTTATTAATATAGTTCTAAGTTAAAGTATAGTTCTTGATTTTTTGGAAAAAATTGAGATAGAATTAACATGAGATGCTTTAGATAAAATTGTTAGGTATATTTTTAAGAAATTTTTGGTAATTTTAATTTTAAAATTTCTAAGTTTCAAAAAGTGTGCATTTGTATTGGTTAAAATTGTTGTATAAATCATGTTTTAGTTAGCTTAATTCTTCTATGTTTTATAATAAATAATTTTGGTGCTTTTTGTTTTGTTACAAAAATGCATTTTGTAACATCCTTCTTTTAATATATAAATAATTTGCATTTATAACTTATATTGTTAAAACATGATTAGGGAAAAATTGATAAAAACTTGTATATTTGGAATAAATGGTACAATATGAAAATACGAGTTAATAAAATTTACAAATTTACAATATTTCTTCTTAGAAAATTTCCACTGTCAATAAATAAAATATATAAGTGATTTTATTATATTAAATCAAATTTATCTGAGCAATTTCTTTCCCACAATCCCTACCGAGTATGACCCTAAAACAGATCAACCATCTCCATTTCTTCTCTTTCATTATCTGAAAATAATCAGTAAGGGTGAGTACTTCCAGCTCCACTAAGTTTCTTTTAATATAAATTAATTACCAGTAATTAGAGTTATAACCTAATATCCTATTCTAATTCATTATTAACAGGGTACAGTCCATATTTACGTTTATCACATCCAAATACATACAATCATACAATCATCAATTAGAGCACATACCACAATTCACTCATCATACATACATTTCTATGTTGACCTGTATGTTATTATACATGTGCCATATCATTTCAATTCATATGTCACAATACATATGTCCTAGTAATACCCGTCGATGTACTACAACACACGTATCATAACAACATAAATCAATCTGCTCGATACAAACATAATAATCATACATATTCTATATCATATCCCATTTATAACACTTTTTATCATAATTGCCCCTGGGATCCCTTGAGGACTTCCTAGCATAGATAGCTGCTGGTTGGCTGCAACATCACAGATACACGTGTGCTGCCCCGACCCTTTTAGCAAAAGTATAGTCAGGAGCTTCGTCGGGAGATAAGGGTGTAGCCTATGAATGTTTATCTTCAATAATTTATTGTGCACCCTTTTCATTATTAACATTCACCATCCTTATTTTCTCAAGATTTCTGAAATCTTCTCCTTAACTCTATACCCCAGTGTATCGTTGTACTATCTATATTCATTCTCAACATTTCTCATTTCACATTCTTTATATCAATCAACATGTTATGATTCATGAGTCACACTTTATATAAATTCATGGATTACAATATATATGATAACACACCCTTTCAATATGCTATAATTTATATCATAATCACTCTGTTTCAAGTTGTGTGGACTCATGTATTATAATCACGCCTCATATTCTTTCTCAATTATATTCTCATTTCTCATTCATACATCACATGCTTTCACTTTCATTCAACACTTCATTCATTTCTATAATTCTACTTATATTGCATACATTTCAGTCATCACTTTATACCTATACTTATTGCATAATACTAGTTCAACATATAAAGTGGCCATACAAAGTCATATCACGCAACCAATACAATACATCAAACTTATCACAGAGACTACCACACAATGTCACACCATACATGCAATACAATGCGCTAAAGGTCGGACACCTTCAAACTCAACCTAACTCGTACCATCTCAAGCTAGTTTCCTAACCTAGAGTTCATTATTGTATATCTTCTATTACTTTATCCATATACATTCTCTAAGAATCCAATTTCATTTCTTTTAAAGAACTCAAAGTCTTTCTTTTACCCAAAATATCCTTTCATCATAAAATCATAGGTTTTTACTAAAATAGGTTATTCACATCCTCCTAGGGTCGTTAAATATGCATATACAAACTTAAAGCTCAGAAATACTCCCTTTACCTGGTAATGGTTCCTCCCAATTAGTTCTTTGAGTGACCTACGGAGAGATTCCACAGTATTCACGGAAAGATCTTCCAAAAGATAAGGTTTCCAAAGTATTTCGAGGTAGAGATCTTAACATAAGAAGAGAACAGAAGAAAAGGGATAAAATAGATATCTGAGCTTCGAGAAACTTACTAAGATCCGAGAAGAACGGATGTTTGAGCTCAAATCTGAAAGAGAGCTAGAGTTATTGGAGGTTTTCTCTGAGAAAGGAGAGGGAGAGAACGAAGAGAATGGAGAAGGATATGTGATTTGGTTGAAAATGAAGATTTTAGGGCGAGAGTTCTTTAAATATCTCTCAAACTTGCGACTTTCTCGCCACAGCGAGAAGTTCTCGTTATAGCGAAAAAACTAGAAGTTTTCATCCTTTATTGTTTGTCATTCTAGCTATAGCGAGAGATTATAGCTACAGCGAAAGGACTTCAGAATGTTCCATTTTCACCGCCTCATTCTCGCTACAGCAAGATTTGTCTCGCCACAGCGAGATATCCTATAATTCACATCAATTAAACACTTCTAATTTCAAATAACATGCACAAATAACTAACATTAATTGTAATAATAATAAATTACAAAAATGAGGGTGCTACACATTTGGGGGTTCAAAACCCTTGGTTTAGAGGTGCTGTCCCAAGAGTGTTATGAGGGAAAAATTATTGTTTTTAATCACCTTTAGGCTTATAATATTCCATTTACATTATAGAAAATAATTGTAAGACCAGTAAGCCATTTTTGCGAAAATTAGAAAATGATAGTTTCAACTCACTTGTAGAGGGTTAAATGATTAATGCCTCTAAACATTGATTATGACTATGTGTGATTATTTGGTTAGGATCGTGATTTGAGAAGTGGTGGAAAGAAGACGTTGGTGAGAAAAATCGGTATACACAGCAAGGTAAGGGAGGACATATCTATTTTCAAAGATATAGTAGAAAAACGTTGGGAGATGAGATATTTTATTCCTTGTTATATATGTATAAATATTTGAAGGAATTTATAATTATTTCTATACTCAGTATACATTTGTTTGATATTCCTTTTTTAGATTGATTTTATGTGTGATGATGCTTCTATGATAATTGTTTGTTTGAATTCAGTATAAATAATTGATTGTCTAAAATTCTTAAGGAATGAACTATCATTCATGTGGAGTGAGCATATAGAAGGTATGTTGAAAAGAATTGGAGAATTGTAAAATAAAGATGTTTAAAAAAAAGGGAAATTTTGAGATAAAATTTGATGGGTTTTGAAAAGTGTTTTAGAAATTGATAAATGGAATTGTGGTTAATTTTCTTCTTAAGAAAATTTTTTTTTTTTTTAAAAAAAAACCTTCTTTAATTTCAAGTGGTTTGATCAAAATTTATTTAACAGTTTTGGATATATTTAAAGTATACCTATATACATATTTAAATAATTTAAAGGATTTTAATTCATCTTAAAATATTATTTTAAATGAGTATTTTGAAATATAGTGATAATTGGAAAAAGGTATTTGTGAGCCATTGAAATAGCTGGAAAGTTGTGAAATGTGTTGGTGATGACTCTCTGCTTAAAATTAGAAGTGTATTGAAATTTTCTGACTGTTTTGCAGAGAGAAGAAAATTTGAAAATATCTGAATTATAGAGGAAACTCTGCCGGATTGTCGGTGGAATTTTTGAAACATATGTTGTTGTTGATTGAAAGGAAATGTTTAATACCTAATTAAAAGACTGAAATTAGGTTCATGCATCATAAACATGTGATTATGGTAGTGTTGGATGAGAAGTATACGAAATCTAGGGGAGACTCTAGGTTAGTCTTGGAGATAGTAGGGTGTGATTAAGACGGGGCAAAGACTAGGGCACGCAACCCTGTGCTGTCGATTCTCACTGCAAAACTGAACTATCCTGACAGAACCCGATGGATTCTCAAAATTAGTTGAGTTATACCTTAGAAACTATTTGATGAGATGGTTATGACCAAGAATAGTTGGTGGCAGTGAACTCCTGATCCTTCCCAGAAAGAAAGAAAAAGAAAATGGTTTGAGCCCACATGCATGTGTCAGTATAGTAATTAACTAGGTGATGCACAAAATCATACATAGCATGTACATTGTGTGTTGTGTTGTTTGGTATTTGCTATAATGATTGTAAATATCTTGACGTGTTTTCTACTGTACTTTGGTTGAAATGGGTTTGTCTCACCCTTTTAGTTGCTATGTGTGTTGTATGTGAATATGTTTGGTAGGTGAGGACACAAATGGCTGGATCACCGTACCAGTTCAGCGTCACAGTCAGATATGATCCTGAAGGAAGATGGACGCACGATTGAGAGCAACAACAGTTCACCCATATTGACACTATTACCTTTTTGTTAGATAGAAATGGGTCAGGCCCAAGGGCATACCCTATCCCCATCAGGGTACCCATGAGACTTACTTTTCTATTTCCTCCTGGAGTACAATTTATAAGACCCCATGTCCCACCTCCTGTCCCTGTATTATTGCCCCCAATATTACCCCCAAATTTTCTTAAATCTTTAGGGCCTTATGTACCACCTGTTGTATGACCCAATATAGCGAACATACATCTACCCAGACACATCTCTGTCTCATCCACTTCTCATTCGACTTCCTCTAATTCTTCTGACTCTGCAAATTCCTCTCAATGCTCAAACACCCTTACTACTACTGGAAAGAAGATGACTGCTTCTCATGCTGGACTTCCTCCTAGTCTTGCCTCCTCTGAGTAGGAACCTAGTGGAAAATGAAAGTAGGTTAGGGATGAGTAAAGAATAGCTTATACATATATGTAGGTATAATTACTAGTGACTGAGACAAGAGTGGGTCAAAATCCTTAATCGTTAACTTTTGGAAGAAATGGTATTTTTGATGATCATGGTTCTAGGGGAAAAGCTTGTAAGGTCATTTTTTG